CTGCCGATGTTCTTGTACAGGCTCTTGAGCTTGGACGCCTTCGGCTCCTTGCCCGCACGGCGCTGGAGCTCCACCAACCACGACGACAGGGCCCCCCACCACCTGATGGACTTGTCTCTGTCAGCCCTGACGTCGATCTCGAGCCTGACGGCACTGAGGTTGAAGTTCAGCTCATCCTCGCGCCCGCAGTAGTGCTGGCGGTCCTTCTGCTCGATCCGCAGCATCGTGACGCAGAACTGCTTCACCGCGTGCACCCAGCTGCTGTACCTGCTGCCGAGCTCCCTCGACGCGGCATCGTCGAACTGGTGCGCCTCTGTGTTCTTCACGTAATGCGGTACCGTGCGCCACGCCTTGCGGTCCTGCTTCACCGCCGTCTCGAGCTTAACCCGCCAGAACGCGTCCCTCTTGCCCTCGTTCAGGTCGAACATGTCGTCGGTGTCCTTCCCTTTGGCGTTTGCCTCTTGCGCCTCGGGCTAGGTGTCCAGCTCCTCCTCTTCGTCGCTGGTCCCGAAGTCGCCGAACATGTCCTCCGTGTCGGCACCCTTCCCGCAGATGCTGGGCAGCTCCTGGCAACTCACCTTCAGCTTGCCCACCTTTGGTCCTCGGAGGGGGGGATGCTCAGTTGGCTCGTTGGCCAGCTCTGCTTCCCTTGTGGCCTGGTTGACCTGCTGCTCCTCCTTCCGCGACCGCTTGCTGTTGGGGTCGGCCTTCCGCTTGGGCATGTTCGGCAAGGGGAAGGGCTTCGACAAACGCAGGGCCTTCTGTCCCGCTGCCTCCGCGTCACCTCGCACATGTACTCGCACTCCGCAGTCATCTCCAGGGTCCACCCGATCCGCACTGACGCGGTCGAGCAAGACCAGGAGGGATTTCGAGCAGACCACGCAGTCGAGCATCCTCGCAGGGTTCCGCGCGCAGGTGTGCGTGACGTCCTCTGGCGTGTGCACCTCCGCGTCGAGCATGCCTGACCACCCCGCCTCCCTTTAGCCGATGCGGCTCCACGTTCCAGTCGCCAGTCCCCGCCCACGGCCCGCTCGTCATCTTCTTCATGCTTTCGCCCCGCATGCCGATGGAAGATGTGAGGTACAATGGCGACCCATGCCAAGAAACGCCCTGCTTGCCTCCAGGGTGCCCTGGGTTTCTTGGGTCTCGATGGTTTTGCTGAAGAAGGCGCGATGCCCCCGCGCCAGCAATCAATGGGCGTCCTGGGGTCTCAGAGTTGGGTTTCTTGTGGAAGGTTTCTTGAGGTCGGGCCCCTACTGCACGTGGCGGTGATCATCACCGTCTGCCCCTTCACCTCCAATTCATCACTGCGGGATCCTTGACATCGATGGGTCCTGCCTTCAGTCGCGTTCCAGCTGCCGAAGCCCCATTGCTTGCGTCGGCTTCGCCGCCTGATGCCTCAAGGATGTCACCGAGTAGTGTGATCTGCCCGCTGCGAGGATCCCTCCTGCAAGCTCGCTGCCCTTGCCCATCTCCGCTGGCGTCACTACCGCCTTCCAACAACGCATGTTCATGAACCGCAAGATCTCGTTGCTGCCCGAGCTGTCCACGTGCGTCTCGGGGAATATCACCAAATCGTCCTTTAAGTTGTCTCACTTCCTCTTGAGCCTGGGACCCCACGTCGACAGGTTCTGCATGCAGATGGTTTAGCTACCCTCCTGAAGGCTGCATGCCCTTACGGCCGCTGCCCTTCGTCCTTGCTGCCAGCACCGCAGCCGCCACTGCATCATTCTCCTTCCGTATCTTCTCCTCCTCACACTCGCTGCCGACCGTCGCCTCTCCTCCACTGCCGCCTGCGGGCGCGTCTCCGCTTGCCGACGAGGTGGCCGCCTCCGATGCCGCTGGTGTGGGCGCTCCTCCAGGTGCTGCTTCTCCTGCTGGTGCTCCCTCGCCCTGCGGCTTGGCCTCTCCTCGACCTTCCTCTTCTTCTGCTTCTGCAGCTCGTTGAGCCATGCCTGCTGCGCCGACTTCTGCTCCTTGAGTTTCTCCGCCGCCGACGCGAAGGCCTCTTGGCCGCTGCCTTGGCCTCCTTGACGAAGTCGGCTTTGCGCTTCTCCAGCTCCTTGATATCGTCGGCTGTGACCACGCTCTCGCAGTCGTCCAGGTCGAAGAGTTCGCCCGTGTCCACCTCCAGGTCGCCGTCGCCAAGCAAAGCAGCGATGAGGAGCATGGGCTTGCTTCCTCCACCTTCGCGTGCAGGGTGAGTCCCGGGTGGATGACGTCGCAGCTCCTCCTTGACGCGATCCTCCGCCTGCGAGACCTCCACCGAACGGTCCAGGAAGTCCTTCTCCGCCTGCTCGAGCTCCGCACGAAGCCGCTCTCGCCGACGGTACGCCTTCTGCTGCTCGCGTCTGGCCTTCTGCGCATTGTCCTCTGCGGATCGAGTGCTTGTCGCGTTCCAGGGATAGTTTGCTGAGCTCCTCCTCCTGCAGGCTTCGGCGCCAATGTTGAGCACCTCCTCGATACGCTTCTTGTTGTCCCCTGTGCTAAGCTGCGCTGCCATCTCGAGTGCCTGGATGGAAGTGCCAGGGGTGTCCTTCTCGTAGTAGCTGTTGCTGTAGTAGCCGCTGTAGCTGCCATGCTTGTGCTCGCCACGGCTGCCGCCGCCATGGACTCCGAGCTCCGCTACGCTGATTGCCGCCGCCACCGCAGCCACCGCCAGTACCGTCGCCACTGCCCAGACTCGAAAGAACCGGGGCCATGGCCGCCGCGGCAGGATACGGGAGATATGGAATGAAGTCGGGACTTCGGAATTGAATGCTCTGACTCGTTTGCCCTCGGCATCAGATTGGTCCTACCGCTCGACACGCTCAGGGGACTCGAGGTCTTTGGAGCCCTCATCGGCCTTGAGCCAAAATGGCTATGGATGGTGATGACTTTGATGATGATGACGATGATGATGATGCTGCTGATGATGATGAGGAGGATGAGGCTGCTGATGATGATGATGATGATGATGATGCTGATGCTAATGCTGATGATGATGCTGATGCTGCTAATGATGGTGACGATGCTGATGATGCTGTTGATGATGACGATGATGCTGATGATGCATGTCATGGTGATGGTGATGATGATCATGATGACGATGCTGATGGTGTTGATGGTGAATCTGGTAAAGATGATATTGATGATGGTGATGAGGGTTATGAGGATGATAATGCCATGATGCTGATTAATATGATGATGCCTATAATGATGAATCTGATGACGATGATGATAATTATGATGATGCCGATGATGATGATAATGACGACGATGATGATGATGATGATGATGATGATGATGATGATGGTGACGATTCGGATGACGGTGACGACGACGATGATGCCGATGATGATGACGGTGCTGTTGCTGTTGCTGTTGATGCTGATGCAGATGCTGATGCTGATGATGCTGATGATGCTGCTGATGATGGTGGCGACGATGCTGCTGCCGCTGATGATGATGAGGATGATGATCATGATGATGATGGTTCTGAAGCTGATGCTGATGTGGATGGTGCTGCCGATGATGCTGCTGCTTCGGCTGCTGCTGCTGATGATAATTATGCTGCCGATTCGGCTGCTGCTGCTGATGATGATGGTGATGATGATGAGGATGATGCTGATGCTGATGATGCTGATGATGATGCTGCTGATGATGATGATGATGATGATGATGATGATGATGATGATGATATTGATGATTGTGATGCTGGTTATGAAGCTGCTGGTGATGATGGTGACGATGCTGATGGTGCTGATGCTGCTGCTGATGCTTATGCTGATGGTGGTTGTGGTGACGATGATGCTGATGCTGATGGTGGTGGTGATGATGGTGGTGGTGATGGTGATGGTGATGGTGATGGTGATGGTGATGGTGCTGATGCTGCTGATGATGAGAACTCTTGTGATGATGAGGACGCTGACACTGATGATAGTGATACTGATGATGATGCTGATGATAATCATGGTGATGCTTATGCTGTGAATGATGATGACAATGACGATGCTGATGCTGACGACGACGATGATGTTGATGATGATGATGATGCTGATGATGATGATGATGATGATGATGATGATGCTGATACTGATGATGACGATGATGATGATACTGCTGATGCTGATGATGATGCTGATGCTGATCATGGTGATGATGCTGATGTGACTGACGATGTCAATGACGATTATGATGCTGACGACGACGATGCTGATGCTGATGCTGATTATGATGATGCTGATGATGCTGATGATGATGATGATGATGAGGAGGAGGAGGAGGATGAGGAATATTAGGAGGAGGAGAATGGCGGAGAGGGAGGAAGGACGCGTGGTCCCCGCTCTCCATCACATGCCACTGGGTGAGTTGTGCTTTGTTGTCTCTCGCTCTCTCTGTCTCTGTGTCTCTCTCTCTCTCTACCTCTCTGTTTTCTTTCCACACATATGAGCCATATTTGCATGCCTGCGTTCAGCTCTGTGCTCGTCGACACGACCCTGCCACTGCGATTGAGGGGGAGGGGGAGCAGGGAGGAGAGGAAGGTGGAAGGGAGTTCAGGGGCAACGGTAGGGGTGGATAGGCTCAGGGGGGACAGCATCGACACACCCAAACGCCCATTCATCGCCGACAGCCCACCCCGCCCAGGAACTCGCCGTTCCACTGCCGTGGGCCTATCGCCAGTACCCCTCCCCCCTGAGCCAGGCCCCCTATCGTTCCCCCTCAGAGGAAGCTGCGCCGATGCGCCCAGACGAGAGGGCCTGACGATACATCAGGCTTCTGTTTGGCGCCCTGCGGCCGTTGTCGAGACTCTGCGCCGAGCCAGTAGAGTGGTGGCGACGGCGCCGCGCTGTCTCTGCCTCTGGCTCTTTTGTGGAGGGGGCCTCCGCCTGGTCTGTCATCGATTAGGGTGCAGTGCCCGATCACGCCCTGCGTCCACTCGTCTGCTTGTGATTTGGCCACCTGGACACGTGCAGATTTGCCGCCGCCGCCGCCTCTTCCTCTTCCTGCCCCCGTGCCAGGCACGGCTACGGACTCCACGTGCACAGGCAGCACCCGATGCCAGGCCAGGGGGTCCACATCCAGCACGCCAAGCTGGCCCTGATGGCCAGGCGCCAGGGGCAGCTCTGAAGAGATTCCTTCCTTCCTCTCGGTCTAGCCTGTCCCGCGTTTTTTTCGCGAACGGCTGCCGCCGCCGTCGTCGTCGTCGTCGTCGTCGTCGTCGTCGTCTTCGTCGTCGTCTATTTTGGCTCAAGCGTCGTGGCGGCGCTGGTATAGACATATCGGTCATTTCCTGCAGTAGTTTTACCTGCAACTCATTTTGTCTGGCCCGCTCGCCTCCTGTAATCTTTTGTTCTTCATATTGATGTTCGCTGCTGCCGCGAGGTCTGCGAGGGAGCACCCGCCCTCGCCGCTTCAGGTGCCGCTGCCGTGCCCACTTTCGACCAGCAGAAGAACGCCCGCATCGGTGCCGCCCTGGACGACGCCGTCGCCATGGAGTATGTCCTGACCGACGCTGATGATCTGGCCCCGTCTGCTGAAGCCGCCGCAGCAGCCCTCGCTGCCACCGCTGATGCCCCTGGTGAGCTCGAGCCAGGTGAATTTCGCCTCTTCTGTGCATTGGCCGCCGACTTCCGTAGCATCATTGCTGCGCAAGTTGCCCCACTAGAGGTCCAACGAGGCAAGTTTTTGGTTCGTGTGAAGCAAACGGAAACATGTATCTGAGATTCAGGAGGGCCTGTTGGCTCTGAAGGCCCGTGTCGCCGTCTTGGAGAGTGGACTGCAGCAGGCTCGGATCACCCTACTGTTGGGCCGCCGCCAGCGTGCGTTCCTTTAACCACTTGGTGCATTTTGTGTGTTGGATGGTACCCGTGTGCGGATGGTACCGAGATCGCTGAGGAGGCAAATTTTATTGACCAGCCACACTTTAGGAATCAAGCAGGTTTTCGCCGCCAGGGGCTACGCCGGCCGCGTGAAGATAGATTTCGGCGCGTCCCAGAGAATGTGGGATTTCCAGGTCAAGATCAAAAAGAAGGGCGAACATTCAGCTCGACGTTGGCCGCCACACGCCGTCCGCAGTGCCCGTACGTCGGGGACATGCGCCAGTTGTGGCGATGCGCGTCGGAGAAATTATCAAACAGTCCTTCCTGGAGAAATTGCCAGGCCTCCCCACCGAGACTGCCACCATCATGATCGACGCTTCCAAGGGCATGGGGTCCGTGATTCTGCTGAGAGGTACCTGCCTGTCGAGATCATGCCCAGAAGCCCGTTCAAGATTTTTAAGCGAAATGCCCCCGCGTGTAATCTGAAGGTTGCAGCCGGAACTCACGAGTGGCTCGCGGCTGCGGGAATGATCCTCGACCTGAACCAGCGTATCGAGGAGAACAATGACGACACCGTGGTCACCTCTGTGAGCTGCCGTGGAGTTCCGATGAAAAGCGCCGCGCGGGGCTGGAGCTTTTGGAAGCTGAGTCTCAATGGCAACATTTTTTACAATATTCACAAATCTACAGAATTCGGACTCCGAGGAGATAGCCGGCCAGCCTGCGGTCCTAGGGCTTCTCTATGCGGGGGCTGAAAACACCAGCGATTGTTGCGCATGAGACGCTCATGGCCTGGATCCAAACCGACTAGTAAGACAGGTGAGCTCCTTCGCCAAGGGTATCAGCATTCCCCGCCGTGGACCTCTATGGGTAGTATGTCGGCATGCCGCTTCATATCCAAATCGCCGTGCCGAACAGTTCCGTGACGGTGAGGACCGCGAGAAGCTGTTAGCCAACTGCCCAAGATGTTGCACTCCGCTCGTCTGCGTCGATGCCAATGCCTCTTTCGATTCGGACCGCGCGCCGACCGTCGCAGCAGGGCCGCGCGCCTGGAAGCTGGGCGCCCCTCACCACGTGGTCGCCAGCAACAGCGTCATCCTGTGCGGCGCTTGGAGCCCGCGGAGGTCGGGCCCGTGCGCGTGCCTCTAAGTTGGCAAGTGCGAGCCCAGACATATTGAATTCGTTTCGATCGGAGGAGGTCTTTCGCGGGGATCCTGCGACTGCCGGCCCAAGTGGAGCGCTGCCTGGAAAAGTCATCATTGCCCGCTTATTTTTGGTTTCTCTGCATCGAGGAAGCCCGAGCCAGAGTTTGTACCGAATATAGCGTGCGGTCTTTAGATCCAAGCTGGTCGGCTGGGGGATTTGCGACCGCTTTCCCAGAGTGTTCGAGGCGAAATTTGGATTCGGAGAGCGTCTCTGCGTGTAAGTCGTAGCCTTGATGACGTTCGTTTTCGCTTGTGCAGCGATGGCGATTTAAGGGCGCGTTCTTGGATTCGAGCCGCTTGCGTTTGGGGCCGTGCCGTTTTTGATAGCTGTCCTGGGGGCCGCCTCGAATTCGAAGCCCCCTGGAACCCAAGTCGATCCGACTCTCTAGAGATGCGCCATTTTTTCAAACCCAACCGAGGGATGATGCGCGGGAGCTGCCAGGCACGTGAACGACGCAGCGAAAATGACGGGCGCCTTCGAGATTGGCTTGTTGCATGGGCGTCACGTGCCAACCAGCGCTGCTGCGATTCCAAGAGAGGGTGTTCTGGACGTTGTTTTCGATTCTACCTGCGTCTCTAGGGTTCTCGAATACAAGTGCGGGCCGACAGGTCGCGTCCTGCTTCCTCTCCGCCTTCGACGCATTTGGGGATTGGTTTGCAACGGACACATTATCTAACATTCCTTGGTCAAGGGGCTACTGGGCGCAGGGGAACTGCTGTCGCCGATCGTTTCGCTGACGGATGTTGCGGGGCGTCTGGGGGCGCCTTCGGGCGCCGCCGGCGGCCCCTATTCTGGCTTTTTCCGATCGCCATTCTGGCCGAGGGGGAGTTTCGCACTTGCCTCTCCGGCGCGGAGATCCCCCCGCTGATCAGCAGCTTGCGTTGCAACGAAATGCGCTTTTGCAGGTGCCCATCTTGTTCTGCGGGCAGTGGTGCGAGTTGCTGGGCAAAGCTCGCAAGACCGCGCCCGCTCTTTTGAATTGCTCGGCGACCGACGCTCCGCCCCCTGGGTCTGAGGTTGATCGGAAAGGTCGACGGGGTCATCCCGTGCCATCCCCGGGGTTTCCTGCCCCCCTGGCGAGCGAGGTTGCTGCTCCTCGCGGGGGGGGGGGGGGGGGGGGTGTAGCTCCCGCGCCCCTTCCGAAAGTGCCCAGGGATCGCCCGCTCAGTGGCAGGACAGAGGCGCATCGGCAGCCTAGGGGCTTCGAGCTCGACCCCGCGCTGAGGCGCGCCGTGAGTTTGCAGGTGGTGTTTCCAAACGGCCTGCGCGTTTATTTCGGACATTCGATTTTGGGGCAGGGTATTTCGAGACGAGTAGGTCGGTGGGGGAATTCAGGGGCGAGGGTTGAGGCCATCAAGGCGAGGGGCGGGATAATCTGGACGGATGCGGGCGTGAGAACGGATGTGGGCGCGATGAGGGAGGAAGCTGTTTTTTCTACCAGGCTCTCTTTTAAGGGCCCAGCCGATTCGACTTTGCCGAACGTGTGTCTGGGCCAAATGGGTTTCCGAGTTCTTTACCGTTGCCTGAGCGATTGGGTGCCCAGTTGATTTGGAAGTGCCTTTCTCGTTTAAAACCTTGGAACACGCGTTCGACAGATGTTAGTGTAGTTTCGGAAGTGCTGACGGAGTTGAGCACGGAAGCCTTTGGCCGACTAGCTGAGCATCAGGTGTTGCGGCATTTGAATTTCCCCCGTGAAGAGCTTGATCCTGCAGGTCGCGCTTTTGGCAGAGTTCTACTGCGCCTGCAAGGTGTTGGGCTTCCGCCCTGTTACGCTTCTGCCCCGTTTGTGGAAGTTGTATTCGGTGCGCCTGAGCGAGTTGATCCAAGTGGGTCAGCTGCCTCTTTCTCGCTGACGTTTTCTCTTTAAGCCACCAGAAAAGTGTATCAGGTGCGCGAAGTAGAAGCGAGCACCATGATGCTGGTGGAATGGGCGGTAGGGGTTTCGGGGCCCATGTATCAGGGGTGGGTGACTTGTGCAAGACTTCTGACTGCGTGCGCAAGGCTTACGATCGCGCAAGGCTTATGGCAGGAGAAAAAATATATCCAGGATCCTCACCGCCGCCTGGCATAGAGAGCTCGCAGTGGCAAGCCCGAGTTTCCGTTGCCAGGCCTCGCGCCCGCTCGCCAGGTTTCGTACGCGCGTTCTTTGATGCAGGTTGCCCCGAGGGTTCGCGTCAGTGGAACCTTTTCCTGCACGACGCAAATATCGGCTTTGAAATGCTATGCGAGAAAAGCGGTGGGGGCACGCTCAGGCTCCCGATGGCCTGGCCATCTTGAACTTGAACCAGCCCAGAACCGACCGCATCAGAGCTTAAGGTCGGCCTTTCCTCTTCCTCCTCCTCTTCTTCCTCCGTTTTTTCCATGTGTCCGCTGGCATGTTTGATCTCCCGGCGAGCTCCGTCCAGATGCCGCGAGCTATGTGGAGTGGACCTCCTGACACCAGTCGTTTCGCCACAGGTATTATTTGAACGCTTCTCTCATTCCGCCGGCCCGTATTTTGCTGTGCCATCGTTGGTGTTTGCGTGCGCGTTCGTGGGCAATGAGGCGCTGCTGGTCGGCGCAACTGCGGTTGTGGGTAACTGTCCTCGTGGGTGCTTCTTGGTGTCCCCTCGGAGGGTATTCGGTGGGCTCCCGTGTAGCAGTTTTAGGGGCTTTGGGGGGCTTCCTGGGGGCGCCTTGTAACCTTGTGTGCCTCTTGGAGCTCTCTTGGCGCCTCTTGGGGGCCTTTCGGACCCTCTGGGGGGCTTTTGGGGGCCGCTTGGGGCAGCCTGGGCGCCTCTGGTGCCGAGGGCTCGAAATGCCCGTTCTGCTTCCTCTTTCTGGGCCCCCCTCCTGGGGCCGTCCTGGGGCTCTCTCTGTCCGTCTTGGAGGACACCGGCGCCGTCTTGGGGCCTTTTCGGGCCGTGGTGTTTTCTGTTTGAGGCCTTTGAGGCCGCCTGGGAGCGACCTTCGGGGCTTCTTGGGCCGTCTTGGAGCGTCGGCGGCCGAAAAGGTGAGACTGCTGAAGACCTTCAAAAACCAATGGGCATCGTTGATTTTTGCCCTCTGGGGGCTTCTTGGGAGTGATACTTGAGGCATCTTCGGGCGTCTTGGAGGCGGTTGAAGCTGTGTGGGGGCTATCTTGGGCATCGTGGAGCGACTGCTGGTGGTTCTGGGCCCTCTTAGATTGCCTTGGAGGCCTCTTGCGACGCTCTTGACGGGGACCGCCCGGGATTTGCATGGGGTACTTTTCGCCCAGGGACCCCCAGGGGGCAGCCAGCCGCGCTCGCGCGCCTTTGGCCCGTTTGGTCCGCCGAATTGCCCCTTTCTTCTTGTCCGATTGCTTTGGATCACGTCGGCTGCCGACTCGGCGAAGACCGACGATCTTGGGGTCGGCGTCACCCCAACATACTGACACTATATTTGCGTCGCCCCCGCAAGGGCGACGTGCGCACCGAGAACTCGCAGAGTATATGCGTCGTGGCGGGGGCTTTCTGGCCACGCCGCTGGGGAACCGATCTACTACAAGATGGGAAAGCAGTGCCGTTTTTAATACATGCTCCGCGTGCAGATCATGTATTAAAATGCAGGGATTTAGTATTCAAAGCAACGAGGAGTTCATGCATAAGTTTATTCATACATTAGTCATGTATACTATCTGTTCGGGTCGGCGCGCGCGCCTCCAAGGAGATCATATCGTACTAGTATGTCTTTGTGCTTCGGGTCCCATGGGTCGCGAGGGAGGTCCGGTTCTCGCGCATCGCCCGCGGGGAAGACCTTCGCCTGCTCGGGGCCTGGATATCGCAGGCGATGGTTGCGCTTCCCAGGCCGTGTCCCGGGGAGTCTCGAGAGCGTGGGCCGCCTTCGGGAAGAACCGCGCCTCCCTCAGGAGGAGGAGAAGGAGGAGGAGGAGGAGGGGGAGGAGGAGGAGGAGGGGGAGGAGGGGGAGGAGGAGGAGGAGGGGGAGGAGGGGGAGGAGGAGGAGGAGGAGGTTTGGACCCCCTCGATCCTGTGGTTCGGCAAGCTTGTCTTTTTCCTCCCTGTTTCGGGGCCCTGAATTCAACGCGTGCGCACTTGAGCCCGTTGAGGGCTGCCCAGTACCGTATGATGAGACACAGGCTGAGGCTGAGGAGGGGGGGGCGAGGAGACGATGGAGGAGTGCGCGAAACGTGCGTACAGAGTCATCAGGAGCCTCTCCGAAAGACATCAAATCACTCCGTGGAGCGGTCTCGCGCTGCTGGTGGGTCATCGTTGGGCTGGGCACGTCGCTGGACTGAAAGCCTACGACCCCGACTGCATAGCCTAAGGCTACCAAGAAACCCTTCTCCCGCTCTCGGGGTGCTTCCCGCGCTTGATACTGCTACGAATATTCTTGGCGCTGGGGATCGGGCCCCCAGAACATGTATCCTGGAGGCCCTGGGATGCCAGGGACACTGTTACAGCTTCCACGCATGGCGTTGGGAAAACGATTCGTACGCTGCTGCGGCAGTAGCTGGACCGCCGAGGGTGACGGGCTGACCTTCTGAAAGTATTTGTGCGGAGGACAACGGATTGAACACCAGGAATAGAGGGCGTTAAGGATCTCGGGTGTTTTCGAGTTTCTGACGCTATGCTGCCCTTGCGTCTCATTTGAGCTCATTCTAAGGATCGGCTTGGGGGTTCTCGCGTTCACTCTCTCTCTCACACTCACTCTCTACCGTCCGACCGAGGGATAAGGGCGAGGTAGGTTCGGGGAGGGTGCCCTAGTGTTCTTCATGTTTGTTGGATGCTCTTGTGCCTCCTGGGGAGGGTACCCCTGGATGTTATGTTTGCTTTGGCCGACGGAGGGGCTCATGTTTTTGAGGTATGCTCTTCCGGCCTAGGTCCGGCTGTAGCGCGCGTATTCAGGCACCGCTCGTAAATTAAAACAGCCACCTGGGCGGCTTGGGCCCTAGAGCCCCCGCTTGACGGCCGAGTCAAGTCGAGTCGTCGTCGTCGTCCGCGTCGTCCCCGCGTCCGTTCGTCTGTCGTCGTCTGTCGTCCTCGCCGTCGTGCTCTCCTGCCTGAACCTCGCGCCCCGACGTGGGCGTGCGCGCGAGGCCTACAGCCCTCCGGTCCTCGGGGCCCTCGCGGGTCTTTGCGAGGATCCTTGCGCCCAAGGCTTCGGTGGTTGTTCGGGGGTGGTACGGCCGATGGCGAGTGCGAATTGGACGGGGCGGGGGTTGTGGGGGTGGGGAGGCAGACATTCGAGCGAAGGATGACGGAGGAGTGATTGGGGATTGCCATGGAGGTGGAATGATGAGGAGGGAGGTCAGGTAATCGCGATGGTGATGGTGATGGTGGTGAGGACGTACATTATGAGGAGGATGTGGAGGATTGTGGTAACGAAGATCCAGACGTGAGGGGCGAGGCATGCGGATTGAGTAAGAGGAATGGAGAGGAGGGGGACGAGGAGTTTCAGCGGAGAAGGTTGGGAACGGGGTTTAATGGAGGAAAGCTGATGATGGAGACGGTCGAGGATGAGGAGGAGGAGGAGGAGTAAGATGCGGATGAGGATGAGGATGAGGATGGGGATAAGGAGGATGAGGAGGATGAGGAGGAGGATGAGGATGAGGATGAGGAAGAGGAAGAGGATGAGGATGAGGAGGAGGAGGAGGAGGAGGAGGAGGAGGAGGAGGAGGAGGGGGAGGAGGGGGGGGAGGAGGGGGGGGAGGGAGGTCAAGGAGAAGGGCCATGGCTGTTGTTGTCCTGTGCTGGCAGGTATCTTCGCAGCGGGGAATACGATTGGGTGGCATGGTTCGATTGCGACAGCATCCTCATGACCCCCGAGAAGACCCTGGACTCGATCATTTACCAGTTCGCAGGATGGCTGGGCTCGTAATTTTTTGGGGGGTCGGGGACGGGGGGGGGGCAGGAGAAACCAGAGTCAGAGTAGGAATATACAGGTGGAGATGAGGCTGAGGATGAAGGTGATGAGCTGGACGACAATGGGGAAGAGCAGGAAGAGGGGAGGATACGTTTCAACGCGCTTCTCCCAAGCAGACTGGCTTTATCATAACATAGGAGGATGAGGACGAAACTTATGATGCGGATGAGGATGACGATGATATCAAATATGGGTGATGGATGTTTCCCGCCTCTTCACCTCTCATTCCTTTCTCCTTTCCCCCCATTTCTTACTTCCTTCCTTCCGTCGCTCTCCCTCTCAGTCCTCCTCTCTCCTTCTCCCTCTTCTCCCCTCTTCTCCCCTTTTGTGTCTCCTTGCTCTCCCTTCTGCGCTGCGGGCGGATCAGGATCAGGAGGAGGCGAGGATTAAGTAAAGGAGCATCGGCTGGCGCTTGCTCGTCCTGTCAGCTGCCCTCCTTCCTCATTGCCGTCGTCGTTGTTCTGCCCCCTTCCCATTCCCTCCTCCTCGCCCTCCTTCTCTTCCCTCTTCTCGGGCTTCGGTTCGGTGGGTGGGTGGCGAGGGAGGGCAACACGGCCCTATGCTCGTGCCGTGGCTGCGTACGGCGAAGCGCATGTTATTCCCTCTCTTCCTTGTTGTTATCTCTTTCCCCCCAGCTTTATACCCTCACCATCATGCCCCCACCATCGTCCTCAACCTTCTCCATCGCCTCTCCTTCCCAGGAGGGATGGAGGAGGAGGAGGGCGAGCATGGACGATGACGCACAATCTGGGTAGTCAGGAGGAGGACGAGGAGGATGAGTAGGATGTTTTTCTGATTTTGGGGGATATGAAGGGCGGATAAGGTCGAGGGCGACACGTGAGCAGGGCGATGAAGATAATGCGATCTGGAGGAGGAGGAGGAGAATGGCGATATGGATGGGTTACGAAGGAGGAGGGTCAGGAAGAGGTGGAGGAGAAGGAGCACGGTAGAGTGGCGATACTGATGATGCCAATGCGGATACGGAGGTCAAGGAGGGGCCGGTGGGTGGTGGTAGTGGTGGTGGTGCTTGTGAGGATGAGGGGCAGGGTGGATGCTGATGCTGGTAATGCGGAGGCGGTAGAGGAGAACGGATGCGGAACAGGAGTCGGATGAGGAGGTGGAAGGATGTTGATGACGCAACTCATGCTGATGATGCTCATGATGACGGTGACGTTGATGACGATGATGGTGACGATGATGGGGTGATTCTGATTCTGATTATGATGATGATTTGGTTTTTGTTGATGATGATGATGCTTACGATGCTGGCGATGCTGATTCTGGTGCTGATGCTTACGCGGCTGTGGACGCCGATGGTAATAACGATGAGGACGATGGTGGTGGTTGTTATAGTGATGTTGATGATTGAGCTGATGATAATGATAATGCTGCTGATGATGCTGTTTGTGTTGCTGATGATCCTGTTGGTAATGATTATTATGATGCTGTTTATGATGGCGATGGTGATGGTGATGCTGATGCTGATGATGACGATGTCGACGGCGATGACGATGCCGATGACGATGCCGATGCCGATAATTACGATGATGGTGATGATGATGACGATGATGCTTACGATGGTGATGACGCTGCTGCTTCTGATGGTGATGCTGGTTGCTGATGGTTGGCTGCTGCTGCTGCTTCTGATGATGAT